CCCAATACGCAGCCAAATGTAGCAATCTATATAAATGAAAAAAGAAATGTTCGTTTGCTCAAAATCGCTAATCTCTGAAAGTTCTTCACCGATTGCTTTGAAATTTTCACGCAATCTTCCATTTGCATCCAGCCAGGTTTTTATATACATACTATATAGATGTAACGTCTGGGATGGTAAAAAAAAAAACATGCTTTTTCTGAAAAACTGTGTTTTTCATGTGTTTTTTCATGTGAGGGAAATCTTCGAAACCTCTTTACCGATTGCTTTGAAATTTTGACACAACGTTGCATTCGAATAGGCGCGTGTTTTTATATACCTACTATATACATGCTTCACCGGTGACAAGATTTGTTTTGTTTTTTTTAAACAGCACCAACTGTTGGACGTAAGAGCAATACATGCTGTACTATCCGAAAGTTCGTCACCGATTGCTTTGAAATTTTGACACAAAGATGCATTCGAATAGGCGCGTCTTCTTATATATCTACTATATAGATGCCACCCCTGTGACAGGTAAAAACATGCGTTTTTTTTTTAACAGCGCCATCTGTTGCACATAATAGCAATATTCACGCTACACTAAATATGTCACGAATTCCATTTCAATGTTTCCGATTGCATTGATAAATTTTATATCATAGATTTTGATTTTTTTATTTATTATTGAATTATTTTGTTTGATATTGTGTTGGAACTGAGCTGTGTTGTTTACCGTACCGTTCATTTCGTAAATATAAGTATACATGTCACATCTGTAACAGGTAAAACTATGCTTTTCTTGACAAACAGCGCCATCTGTTGCATGTAAGAGCAACACACATGCTATACTAAATACACTACAATTCCATTTCAAAGTTTCTGATTGCATTGATGAATTGAATTTTCATTGATTTTTATTTATTTTAATTTTGATTGAATTATTTTGTGTGAATTGTGTTGGAATTGAGCTGTGTTGTTTACCATACCGTTCATTTTGTGAGTATAGTTTATTTTTATATTTTTTCATATTTCATTAAATTTTTTAACTGTTTTTCTTATATTTCATTAATGGGGAACATCAGATCACTTGATGTTCCCAATTTTCTGATCGGAACATCAGACCATTTGGGATGGCATCAGACGAGGGAGTGGGGAATGGTGGGGATGACGACGGGATAGAAGTGAGAGATGGTGGGGAGGACGAAGGGACAAGGGAAGGGTAATTGTGGGGAAGGACGAGGGGACGGAGGAGTTTGGGATGGTGGGGACGAGGGGATGGCAGAATGGAGAATAGTGGGGAGGACAAAGGGAAAGGGGAGTGAGGCATGGAGGGAAGCATGAGGGGATGGTGGATCTGATCACAAATGTCATATTATTAATGCAAACACTCAAACGACAAGGCCGACGCGTACTTATCAACTGGGTGCCAAGTCATGTGGGAATAATAGGAAATGACGTTGCAGACGAAGCTGCAAAACTTGCAACTAAGAGAAGAAATGTAGACATTTACATACCACAGAGTCAATCACAGATTAAGAAAGTAATTAAAAACAGAGGAATGCAAAAGATGTACAGTGACCTCAACACACCAGGTGCAACATTAGGATCTGCGGGTTGGTACAAGAATTCAACCAACTACGAACCACTTAGTTTGATGAAAGGGGGCAGTAGAGCAACAGAAGTGCACTTACATCGCATCAGGCTTCGATACCCATGTGCATGTGAAACAGGCTTACTGGTTCCGGAAGATGAGAGGAAATGTCAGCACTGTGGAGAAATGCCCGACAAACCACTGGAACATTATCTAACACAGTGCACAGTTACAAACCTATTAAGATTTCAACTTTGATTCAACAGAGCAGAAGAAGTTGGTAAACATATATGGTAAAATCTTACTAAAGCGACCATCTGAATCATAAATACTTATACTCCGCCCAAGTAAAACACAAACAAATATCACTTAGTGGGCCAGCCAGAGCCTTAGGGTCCACGCAGGAATATTCCTTTAAAAAAATGAGGGGATGGTGGAGTAGGGAATGGTGGGGAGGACGAGGGGACGGTGGGGTGGGGAATGGTTGGGAGGCCGAGGAGACGGATGAGGGGTGAATGGTGGGGAGGACTGGGGGACAGTGAAGGTTGCTGTGGCTCAGCAACACACGTGCGTTGGTGAGTCACAGCAACGCGTGGCCGGGTACTGCTAGTCTATATAAATAAAAATGGAAATGTTCGTTTGTTCAAAATTGCTAATCTCCGAAAGTTCTTCACTGATTGCTTTGAAATTTTCACACAATGTTCCATTGTGTGAAAATGTTTTTATTTATATACTATATTGATGTCACCTCTGTGACGGGGAAAAAAAACATGCTTATTTTGAAAAATTGTGTTTTTCATGTGAGAGAAATCTTGGAAACCTCTTTACCGATTGCTTTGAAATTTTGACACGACGATGCATTCGAATAGGCACGTGTTTTCATATACCTATTATATACATGCCTCATCTGTGACAGGAGAAAATATGCTTTTTTTGAAAAACTGTGCCATCTGTTGGACGTAAGAGAAACGCACGCTGTAATCTCCCAAAGTTCTTCACTGATTGCTTTGAAATCTGACTCGATGTTCCGTTTGAATATGTGCATGTTTTTATATACCTACTATATAGATGCCACTCCTGTGACAGGTAAAAACTTACTTAAAAAAAAAACATCTGTTGCACATAATAACAACACGCACGCTATACTTAATATGCTATGAATTCCATTTCAATGTTTCCGATTGCATTGATTAATTTAATTTTCAAACATTTCGATTTATTTTCATTTTGATTTAATTATTTTGTGTGACATTGTGTTGGAACTGAGCTGTGTTGTTTACCATACCGTTCATTTCGTGAGTATAAGTATAGATGCCACACAGGTGACAGGTAAAAGCAGGATTTAAAAAAAAAAACAGCGCCATCTGTTGCACGTAAGAGCAGCTCACACAATACTATGTATGTTTCGATTCCACTTCAATGTTTCCGATTTCATTCATAAATTGAATTATCATAGATTTCAATTTATTTTCATTTTGATTTAATTATTTTGTGTGACATTGCATTGGAATTGAAATTTATTGTTTACCATACCATTCATTTCGTAAGTATAATTCATATTTCTAATTTTTTCATTGTTTTTCATTTAGTTTTTTAATTGTAGTTCTAATATTTCACTGATGGGAACATCAGATCATTTGTTGTTCCCAATTTTGTCATGGACACATCAGATCATTTGGGAATGCATCGAACGAGGGAATGGGGAATAGTGGGGGGAAACGAGGGGATGGGAGTGGGAGACGGTGGGGAGACCGAGGGGACAGGGGGAGAGGGTAATGGTGGAGAGGACGAATGGGACGGGGGAGTTGGAGATGGTGTGGACGAGGGGATAGGGGAATGGAGATTGGTGGGGAAGCACAAGGGGACAGGGGAATGGGGGGAGGACGAGGGGACGGGGAAGGGGGGATTGGTGGGGAGGACTGGGAGACATGGGGAGGGTTGCTGTTGCTGAGCAATGCATATGCGTTGCTGAGCCACAGCAACGCGTGGCCGGGTACAGCTAGTTTAAAATATACGTAAAAAACATTTCAAATGAGCTATTACCTTAACACGAAAAAATAAATAATAATAGAACATATTTTGTTTATTAGTGATGACTTATACAGTAATGAGCAGATACTGCAGGATTGATCCTTCGAGTTGAAGTTGATGGTGAGTTCCGGGCTCAGAACGCCTTCCACAATCATTCATCCTGAGTATTCCTTTATGTTGGAGCTCTGAGCGTTTCATTCACACTATCACTGGATGACAATGTATATGTTACACTCATGTATATGCTTAAATGCATGTATAGCACGTCACGAAGACACCCAATGTATATGTGTAGTTGCATAAATAGCACGTCACGAAGTCACCCATGTATATGTGTAGATGAATGACTAACACGCCAGGAAGACACCCATGTATATGTGTAGATGAATGAATAACACGTCACGAAGTCACCCATGTATATGTGTAGATGAATGACTAACACGCCAGGAAGTCACCCATGTATATGTGTAGATGAATGACTAACACGCCAGGAAGACACCCATGTATATGTGTAGATGAATGACTAACACGCCAGGAAGTCACACATGTATATGTGTAGATGAATGACTAACACGCCAGGAAGTCACACATGTATATGTGTAGATGAATGACTAACACGCCAGGAAGTCACCCATGTATATGTGTAGATGAATGACTAACACGCCAGGAAGACACCCATGTATATGTGTAGATGAATGACTAACACGCCAGGTAGACACCCATGTATATGTGTAGATGAATGACTAACACGTCAGGAAGACACCCATGTATATGTGTAGATGAATGACTAACACGCCAGGAAGTCACACATGTATATGTGTAGATGAATGACTAACACGCCAGGAAGTCACCCATGTATATGTGTAGATGAATGACTAACACGTCAGGAAGACACCCATGTATATGTGTAGATGAATGACTAACACGCCAGGAAGTCACACATGTATATGTGTAGATGAATGACTAACACGCCAGGAAGTCACACATGTATATGTGTAGATGAATGACTAACACGCCAGGAAGACACCCATTGTAACAGCTTAACTGTTCATAGTTATATATTCTTGTCAAAAAGATTGGATTTTTATAAACGCGCGTGTGCACGCCCGCACAGTAGCTGCTGTGAGAGTGACCTTGCCCATGGGGGGGTGAGGTACCACATCACTGCCAGGGAAGACGTTAAAATTGTAATCATGTGTATTTTTGTATGTAGACTTCCAGCTTATGGTTGCCCAATAAAAAATAGATTATGTGGCTGTATATTGAAGGAAGGAGTGAAGAGTTATATAGTTATGCATGTTGTCCGCCGGGACATTAGTACATGGAAACACTGGCTTGACTTATTTGAGGTGACAATACCTGACCTCAGGTGAGGTCGCTAGGACCTCACCTGAGGTCAGGTAGAACCTGCTCTCTCTACACCTCGGGTGAGGTCGCTAGTGAGGCCAGTGGCAGAACATGCTCTCTCTACACCTCGGGTAAGGTCGCTAGTGTGGCCGGTGGCAGAACCTGCTCTCTCTACACCTCGGGTGAGGTCGCTAGTGTGGCCGGGGGCAGAACCTGCTCTCTCTACACCTCGGGTGAGGTCGCTAGTGTGGCAGGGGGCAGAACCTGTTCTCTCTACACCTCGGGTGAGGTCGCTAGTTTGGCCGGCGGCAGAACCTGCTCTCTCTACACCTCGGGTGAGGTCGCTAGTGTGGCCGGCGGCAGAACCTGCTCTCTCTACACCTCGGGTGAGGTCGTTAGTGTGGCCGGCGGCAGAACCTGCTCTCTCTACACCTCGGGCAAGGTCGCTAGTGTGGCCGGGGGCAGAACCTGCTCTCTCTACACCTCGGGTGAGGTCGCTAGTGTGGCCGGGGGCAGAACCTGCTCTCTCTACACCTCGGGTGAGGTCGCTAGTGTGGCCGGGGGCAGAACCTGCTCTCTCTACACCTCGGGTGAGGTCGCTAGTGTGGCCGGGGGCAGAACCTGCTCTCCCTACACCTCGGGTGAGGTCGCTAGTGTGGCAGGGGGCAGAACCTGTTCTCTCTACACCTCGGGTGAGGTCGCTAGTTTGGCCGGCGGCAGAACCTGCTCTCTCTACACCTCGGGTGAGGTCGCTAGTGTGGCCGGCGGCAGAACCTGCTCTCTCTACACCTCGGGTGAGGTCGCTAGTGTGGCCGGCGGCAGAACCTGCTCTCTCTACACCTCGGGTGAGGTCGCTAGTGTGGCCGGGGGCAGAACCTGCTCTCTCTACACCTCGGGTGAGGTCGCTAGTGTGGCCGGGGGCAGAACCTGCTCTCTCTACACCTCGGGTGAGGTCGCTAGTGTGGCCGGGGGCAGAACCTGCTCTCTCTACACCTCGGGTGAGGTCGCTAGTGTGGCCGGCGGCAGAACCTGCTCTCTCTACACCTCGGGTGAGGTCGCTAGTGTGGCCGGCGGTAGAACCTGCTCTCTCTACACCTCGGGTGAGGTCGCTAGTGTGGCCGGCGGTAGAACCTGCTCTCTCTACACCTCGGGTGAGGTCGCTAGTGTGGCCGGCGGTAGAACCTGCTCTCTCTACACCTCGGGTGAGGTCGCTAGTGTGGTCGGCGGCAGAACCTGCTCTCTCTACACCTCGGGTGAGGTCGCTAGTGTGGCCGGCGGTAGAACCTGCTCTCTCTACACCTCGGGTGAGGTCGCTAGTGTGGTCGGCGGCAGAACCTCCTCTCTCTACACCAAGATTTCCCCTCCTAGTAAATATTTCCATATGTAGGGATACTAATTATTTCATAGCGAGAGCATTGTATATCTGGAGCCTGTGCCAAGTCTCTTCACTTAGCAAAAGAAAAAAATTAGAAGTTCTAGTAAAGTGATAGTTGTCAGAGGAGTGTGGTTTTGCCGGTTAATGAGGAGAGGGGAACCGCTCCCAGAGCCAAACACATCTTGGCGGGGAGTTAATTGCAGAGATAGAAGGTAAAGTTTGTTTAGCGTTTAAGCACAAGATATTTTAGTAAATTATATTTCCTCAAGGTTTAGGAACAATAGATAAAATTACATCCCATAATTTTGTGTCAATAAACGAACTTAATTATTTTATGGTTTTTAAACAATTCCCTCTTCGATTATTATATGAGTCCAATAATCCTAATTGGTTGTTTATAATTTTTCGTGTGGTCCTACAAGCACTCAAATTTTAAATGTATTATCCCTTGTCTTGTTTAAGCCGCATTTAATGTAAAAATTTACCCCCCCCCCCTATCTTTGTCATAAAATTAGGAATTCACATTCTTGGTATCTTTGAAAGAATTGGCTGATACCTCCTTCGCAGTCATTTAGCTTAATTATATGGTGGGTGGAATGAACGAGGTGGTGGCAGTGTTCTAAAGAGTCTTGGATAAACTAAAGGGCATAGCTAAGTCTTTGGTGAGTGTTGTAATCTTTTGTTGTAGTGCTCCTTGGTGCCTGCGGCCTTGGTGATCAAACATCTACAAGTACCAGGCAGCCCTGGTGGCTAAGTTACCACAGGAGCTCGGTTACCATCATCCCCTTAACAAGCGACCAGTTAAGACAGAGTAAGTAACTGTTAGGTCATTTAAAGTCGAGTCTCTGACACAGAGAGCAGAGGTGTCAGTCTGGGTCCCTTGCACCATTTATGCATCTATATTAAGACACACTATCTTAGAGGGCTGATTCGTGACGCATTTATGTTTGATACATTGTTTCATGGTGCACTCTTGTATGACGCACTCTTGCTTGACGCACCCTTGCATGACGCACTCTTGCATGACGCACTCTTGCATGACCCACTCTTTTATAACGCACTCTTGCATGACGCACTCTTGCATGGCGCACTCTTGCATGACGCACTCTTGCATGACATACTCTTGCATGATGCACTCTTGCAACACGCACTCTTGCATGACGCACTCTTGCATGACGCACTCTTGCATAACGCACTCTTGCATAACGCACTCTTGCATGATGCACTCTTGTAAGGTGCCCTCGTACATGAATCTCTCATGCTTGACGCACTCTTGCATGGCACACTCTTGAATGACGCACTCTTGCATAACGCACATATGTGTGACGCACTCTTGCATGATGCACTCTTATGACACACTCTTGTAAGGTGCCCTCTTACATGAAGTTCTCTTGCTTGACGCACTCTTGCATGACACACTCTTGCTTGACGCACTCTTGCAAGGTGCCCTCTCACATGACGCACTCTTGCAGGATGCAGTCTTTCACGGCGCACTCTTGCATGATGCACTCTTGCATGGCGCAGTCTTGCATGACGCAGTCTTTCACGGCGCACTCTTGCATGATGCACTCTTGCATCAGACACTCTTGCATGCCGCACTCTTGCATGATGCACTCTTGCATGGCGCAGTCTTGCATGACGCAGTCTTTCACGGCGCACTCTTGCATGATGCACTCTTGCATGGCGCACTCTTGCATGATGCACTCTTGCATGATGCACTCTTGCATGGCGCACTCTTGCATGACGCACTCTTGCATGATGCACTCTTGCATGGCGCACTCTTGCATGATGCACTCTTGCATGGCGCACTCTTGCATGATGCACTCTTGCATGATGCACTCTTGCATGGCGCACTCTTGCATGGCGCACTCTTGCATGATGATGCAAGAGTGCAGACACTCCGATGCATGCGTAGTACCGCCCACTACGACGCACCTCACTGGTGCATGCGTTGAACCGTCCCACTACGACGCACCTCACTGGTGCATGCGTTGAACCGTCCCACTACGACGCACCTCACTGGTGCATGCGTTGAACCGTCCCACTACGACGCACCTCACTGGTGCATGCGTTGTACCTGTCCCACTACGACGCACCTCACTGGTGCATGCGTTGTACCGCCCACTACGACGCTTCACAACGCCAACCAGACAATTTTTTCGTTATCACATACATTAAGTGCAGGAATGTAATACAATTACCCTTGATGAAACTCGAATACGTTAGTGCTGGTAGAACGTCTGGACGCGAGTGTGACTGTAATTAAATAAGTAATTATCAAAAGAAGGCACCAAACCAGGAAGGCTATGTAGCACCATCAAATGTGCGGGATAATCAGAGGGCGCTAAATATCACCAAGGATGCCAATATGAGAACAAAAACGCATAAGGCGAACGATATCAAAAGTATCCGAGTCACCAAGAATTCTATTGAGGGACAAGCGACCGCGGGGGATGGTCTGAAAACAAGACACACGCTCGTCCCGCACGAAGGTAAATAGACAAGGAAAGCTTGTTCGAACTGCTTCCAGTACCACATACATTTTTACCTGGTTGAAGGCATTTTTAAAGTCTAATTTAATTAATGCCTTATTTTCTGGGAGGTGCTTGATATAGGCTCGTGCTGCATGAGCTGCTGCTTCACAGCCATGGGGGACACCAAAACCTAGTTGATGGGGTCGAAGCATCGTCGCAGCGTCTATGCTAATTTTTCTGACAGCTGCCCTAGCAACAAGGCGCCGAAGTGTGTTACCCACGGCAATGGGTCTGACTCCACCATCTTTCTTCTTGAGGGCACAAAGGGATGATCCGAAGAAGAAGGGTTTAATTGTATCTGGGATCAACCCGGAGAGACAGTCGTTGACAAATTTCGTGATCTCTGACAGTAGTGTCTCGGCAACTTCTCCGAGAACTGGGTTTGTCATCTCCTTGAGGTGCTGAGGTCTTACTCCAGTGTATCCTCCTGCTGAGCCTGGTGGAAATGACATGATGGCTTTGTATACCTCCTGATGCTTGGAGGAATAGAGGTCCCATGTCTGGGACATTTGTGTCCCGAGCAGTGGGTTCCCATGGTACTCTGGGAGGGTGCTTCTCTCTCAGTGAGTCGGCAGTAGCGGGATTTCTAGGGGCGATTGTTTCTTCGCTGGTAAGTAACCTAATTGCCCCTACTGTGTTGCCCTCTTCAATTTTCTTGGTCACTTGTGTTCCTAGTTTAAAATTATCATTGGAACTCTTGGGTCTGCCACGACGGTTTTTGCGTTGAGGAGGGATGGGGATCAAGTTGTCAGCTCTGGGGAAATTATTTATTGCCCTAGTGACTGATGAGGCTAGTGACTTGCCTCCTCTTGCAGGTACGCCTAAGCATATATTGCCCAACAGGAGCAAATTATGCCATGCTTTGATGGTGGCCGCGGCATTAAGATTGGCAGACCGTTCATTTACTCTCCTTAAAAGGTCTGTATATTTCCCTGCTGCAAATGGGCGCGCTGCTTTAGGAATGTGGGGAAGAGTTCTGGTGGTGGATGCTTTGATGGCCCCCAGGAGGTCATCTGATGACATGAAGGTTGCTGGGATGTGTGGGGGTGCCGGGGGGACCTGTGGGCCTTCTCTCTCTACAGGTTCCGTCCATGAACCATCACAGCCGTTGTGCTGACGTAGGGTTCCATCGTTTCTAAGGCTGTGTGATTCGTCACAAACCCGACACGTTCCTCTGGGTCGCCCTCTCGTTGCGCCTCTCGGTGCATTGTTCCCAGGCCCGTGTTCTTGGCTGAGGGGTTCCTGGTTAGATGGGGGAGTCCTGTGACATCGGCGTGGCGAGGTAGGGTGGACACGGGTGGTGGCAACAAGGGTGGTTAGCTGTCCCTCGCACTCACCACTCCTCATGTAGGTACTTGTGTCTCCCTCCCTTTTGGGAGAACCCTAAAAGCTTGCTGTGACCTGCGCAATATCTGGGTGCATAGAGGGTGACACATCTCTGCAACAAGCACTGTGTGGGCGGTGAATAGGTGGGTGGGAGACGCCCAGCCGCAGGGAGGGCTGGGTGGTGGGATGGCAGGAGGTACAGTGGTGCGGTGAGGCCGGCGGGCGGGGAGGGGTTGGGGGGTTGACCGAACACCGCTCGCCTTGAGGGGAGGGGGGGTGGGGGGTCTGGGCGACACTTAAACACTAGTACAATTTTTTTGTATATCACTGCACAATGGTGAATAAATCATACACTTGTAGTCTGACACACTGTGAGCTCCATTAGCACTACACCTTTCTGAACGAAACGCTTTGCGTAATAGTGGCTTTAGGCATTGTATGTACTAGCTCTATCTATTAATCCAACAAACTTTGTAAAATCTCTTTATGTATGTACCTTACCTAAATAAACATTTATTTATTTATTTATTAACACATGATTGATAATTTCTGTTTTTCTTTTCCAAATTTATTTCTATAAACACTGGGTGGCACATGGATGACCCCCCCCCCACTCGCCAGACCGCACAACAACACCCCCCCCCACACCTTCACTGTGGGAGGCCTACAGGGCGCCGGCGTGGCCCTCACTGCCCTTATTTTCCACACTGTAAATTCACCTGTTTGATCCGTTTATGTTGAGATGGTCCACTCTTGGCACTTCCCGTCCACTCCTGCACCTTCCCAGGATATTCACACAGCACCTTGTGCAGGCAAGGCTCGGTGGCGCCAGGATGTCACTAAGTATGGCTCAGTAAACACCACAGCCTCCCTCCACGCGTCCACCCGCCCCGAAACCTCGTTATATATATATATATATATATATATATATATATATATATATATATATATATATATATATATATATATATATATATATATATATATATATATATATATATATATATATATATATATATATATATATATATATATATATATATAACTTTTTAGACACTCAACTCACCAGGGGACTCGAACACTGGCCAACAAGGTGGCAGTTGCATGCTGTATCCACTACACTATACTTCAAAGCCATAAAGAGAGGTAGGAATTCTGGGGTATTTAACCAACCAGAACTCCAATCCTCTCCCAGGCAATGAGATAGTGTGGGACCTCGGATGCTCTTTCATCGGTTCCTGTTATATGGGAAAACTCAGTGCCAAATGCTTAATGCACAGACTACCCTATTCCAGTAGCTGAAGTTTATAACTTTTTAGACACTCAACCCACCAGGGGACTCGAACACTGGCCAACAAGGTGGCAGTTGCATGCTGTATCCACTACACTATACTTCAAAGCCATAAAGAGAGGTAGGAATTCTGGGGTATTTAACCAACCAGAACTCCAATCCTCTCCCAGGCAATGAGATAGTGTGGGACCTCGGATGCTCTTTCATCGGTTCCTGTTATATGGGAAAACTCAGTGCCAAATGCTTAATGCACAGACTACCCTATTCCAGTAGCTGAAGTTTATAACTTTTTAGACACTCAACCCACCAGGGGACTCGAACACTGGCCAACAAGGTGGCAGTTGCATGCTGTATCCACTACACTATACTTCAAAGCCATAAAGAGAGGTAGGAATTCTGGGGTATTTAACCAACCAGAACTCCAATCCTCTCCCAGGCAATGAGATAGTGTGGGACCTCGGATGCTCTTTCATCGGTTCCTGTTATATGGGAAAACTCAGTGCCAAATGCTTAATGCACAGACTACCCTATTCCAGTAGCTGAAGTTTATAACTTTTTAGACACTCAACCCACCAGGGGACTCGAACACTGGCCAACAAGGTGGCAGTTGCATGCTGTATCCACTACACTATACTTCAAAGCCATAAAGAGAGGTAGGAATTCTGGGGTATTTAACCAACCAGAACTCCAATCCTCTCCCAGGCAATGAGATAGTGTGGGACCTCGGATGCTCTTTCATCGGTTCCTGTTATATGGGAAAACTCAGTGCCAAATGCTTAATGCACAGACTACCCTATTCCAGTAGCTGAAGTTTATAACTTTTTAGACACTCAACCCACCAGGGGACTCGAACACTGGCCAACAAGGTGGCAGTTGCATGCTGTATCCACTACACTATACTTCAAAGCCATAAAGAGAGGTAGGAATTCTGGGGTATTTAACCAACCAGAACTCCAATCCTCTCCCAGGCAATGAGATAGTGTGGGACCTCGGATGCTCTTTCATCGGTTCCTGTTATATGGGAAAACTCAGTGCCAAATGCTTAATGCACAGACTACCCTATTCCAGTAGCTGAAGTTTATAACTTTTTAGACACTCAACCCACCAGGGGACTCGAACACTGGCCAACAAGGTGGCAGTTGCATGCTGTATCCACTACACTATACTTCAAAGCCATAAAGAGAGGTAGGAATTCTGGGGTATTTAACCAACCAGAACTCCAATCCTCTCCCAGGCAATGAGATAGTGTGGGACCTCGGATGCTCTTTCATCGGTTCCTGTTATATGGGAAAACTCAGTGCCAAATGCTTAATGCACAGACTACCCTATTCCAGTAGCTGAAGTTTATAACTTTTTAGACACTCAACCCACCAGGGGACTCGAACACTGGCCAACAAGGTGGCAGTTGCATGCTGTATCCACTACACTATACTTCAAAGCCATAAAGAGAGGTAGGAATTCTGGGGTATTTAACCAACCAGAACTCCAATCCTCTCCCAGGCAATGAGATAGTGTGGGACCTCGGATGCTCTTTCATCGGTTCCTGTTATATGGGAAAACTCAGTGCCAAATGCTTAATGCACAGACTACCCTATTCCAGTAGCTGAAGTTTATAACTTTTTAGACACTCAACCCACCAGGGGACTCGAACACTGGCCAACAAGGTGGCAGTTGCATGCTGTATCCACTACACTATACTTCAAAGCCATAAAGAGAGGTAGGAATT